TATTGTTTTATTGAGTGTTTTCAGTAGATAAGTGTGGACAAGCATACATGTACAAACAAGTAATTCCATTGTCTAGGGAACTTCTGATTTGAAGATTTGTCCACATGTAAATGTACTGTAATACAGTACTTTCAGAGATAAAGTCTATGCTACTGTTGGGCAAACTTCAAGTGATTTGGTGACAAATGATGCAATGTTTGATACCCATTTAGATGTCAATTATTTTTTTCATGAAATTGGGATTGTTGTGTGGTTAAATCAGCCTCCCATTTGCAAATTTTACAAATTTACCCAGTTTATTTCATGAGCTTAGAGAGAACAATATCACATTTGAAAGTCAAGCTTGTCAAATGAAAATCCAAATTTAGCCTTCATCTTCCTGTAAGTTCTTCCCTCAAGAAACAGATTATCAGACACTGTTAACTGATTAAGTGACTAAATGATGACACACTTAGCTGGAAGTTAGTCAGTAACTCACACTAAGTGTGCGCTTTGCCTGAAAGGTGTCTAATATCCATCGTGGCAGCTGTTCAAGTCTGGCTGGAAGCCGTGATGGCAAGTACCTAGCAACTGCTGGAGACAGGGTCGTTAAGATGTGGGACTATCACATGAGACTGGACATTAACTTCCAGGTATATAAGTTAGTAATAATGCAGACATAGGGCTAAATTATTTTACATGTTACTTAGCAGGTTAGTTACGTAGTGACATTGTTGTTGACATTGTTTGGTTGTGTACGTTCCTGGCCCCAGTTGTTCGAAGGCTGGATAATACTATTATTATTATTATATAGGCACTAGTGTTTTACTGGAAAATACACAACTCGTAATTCATACGAAACCACATCCAGGACATGGGTGGCTTATTTTCCATATCCTCACTAGTGAAGATATCAATGATTTCACTGATATCAAGTTGGTCTCTTAAATTGTAGTCAAATTTGTTGGTTTATGATTGAAACATCTTTGGGTCTTCCTCGAGAGTCTTTGGCAATCTTCAGAAATTTTCGGAAAATGTGCAGCAATGTTTGTGTGACCTTCAGACAAGTTTTGGAAAATCTTTGGAAATCTTTGGAAAGTAGTTGGAAATCTTTGGAAAATCATCAAAAACACTGTCATCAGTATGTCTATATAATAAAAAGAACATTGAAACACGTTAGCTCGAAGATATGAAGTTTACGTTCTTGTGGCTAAAACAATATCTCACTTGTTTGCTGCAGTCACTTGTGAGATATTGTTCTTGCCACTTGAACATAAAATTCATATCTTCTTGCCACCTTGTAATATCCTCCATCCACCGGATAAATCACTATCCACACTATCCAGTGGATAAGTGTTAACAAACCAAACCATGCTCAGCTGGATAGTGATTTATTTGGTGGATAGCGTTATCCACCTTTCAAACAACTCATGCTTGAACATGAGAGTACCCAGAGCTCTGGTACATGTACCAGTTAAGCTTCTTCCAAAACCACTGAGATGAGATGTAACTAATTTGCATGATTGTATCTTTGGTTTCTGCAGGTTTTTATTGGTCATTCAGACCATATTCAGCAAGTAGCTTTTACTCCAGACCATCTTGGTCTTGTCAGTATAGGTGAGGCCATCTTGCTGTGGGATTTCCATGGAAGAGGAAGGCAGCTACAGATAAATGGGTAAACATTTCTCAGTATACAATCCCACATATTATTAATACTGGTTATGTGTTAGAACTTGACCTTTGTGGATCTATATAATTATTCATTAAGATTAAATTAATAGTTGAGAGGAAACTTATTAATAAATGCTGTACCACCGTACTGTTGAGTAACCTGTTGTGGACTACATGTAGCATTAATTCCATCCAGGGGGAGTAGTGATACTCCTATAGTTGCTTCATGATATTGCAGTTGATATAAACTGTGATGTTGTGGAATAATTTTAATTAGGTTTCAAATGTGGAACCTTTTGGTTGAAATACATATGTTTTCCTTTCAGTGGACGAGAGCCTCAGAAAAGCTATATCCCTGAAGTTCCAGGTAGCTTATTAGAGTTTATTTATTGGAAATTAAATGATT